ACCTTGGTATCTCATCACATCCCTGACTTGTGCCTTGTAAGTGGCGGATAGGCTATGTAGAGTCAGGAAATGAGTGACTCGCTGCAGTTTTCGTAACCTCTGACCTACTCTTGTAGGTAGTGTTTATGTGGCGAACCCAGTTGAGTTTCTCATCCATGGCAACCCCCAGGATGTTATGATGTGATGATAGCATCACTGAATGGCAAGCAATGGTGGTTTCTTACTGGAGATGGTCATTGCCTGGCATTTGAGTGTCGCAAATATTAGTTGCCATCTTTCAGCCCAGGCCTGGATATTATCAGGTCTTGTTGCATTAGAACATAGACTCTTCAGTATCTGAGGAGTCACGAATGTTGCTGAATATTGTGCAATTATCAGCAAGCATACTCACTTCTGACCTTAGGATGGGGGAAGGTCATTGATGAAACAGCTTTCACAAGTAAAAGCTGCGATGTCCAACCACATTTGAAGTTAGTCAAGTGGTGTGTTTATGCACTCTGATTAAAACTCTCACCAGAGCTAAACTTTATGACCAACGTTTTGGTCTTTCTGGTTTTAAATGTTTATTGACGGCCATATAGTTAAGTGATAGAAGAAAATTGTTTGGTCAGTCATACCACTGCCAACTCCATTGAAGAGGTTTCCACTTTTCTTTTTCTTGGCTGTATTGTCACTGCTATTATCACCAGCATTTATTGCCCATCCCTAATTGCCTAGAGGACAGTTAAGAGTCAACAGATTGTTGTGGAACTGGAGTTGCATGTAAGCCAGATCAGAAGCAAGGAAGACAGATCTCCTTCTCTAAAGAACATTAGTGAACTAGATGGATTTTTAAGACGATTGAAAGTGATTGTGGTTTATGATAGATGTGCTTTTTTTAGTCCAGATTTTTGTTGAATTCGGATTTCCCCATCTGCCATGGTGGGAATGAACCTTTATCTCTGGAACATTAGCCTGAGGTTTGCTCACCTCATGCCATTATCACTGTGCCACCACCTCCCCTGAAAAGACCTCAAAAAAAAAATGTTGAAAGTTTGGCATATAGACAAGGGTGGTTGAAGTCTCTGACAAAATCTCAAATTGTGGTCATTATCATATTGATCAAAAACTATCTAACTTGATGGGTTTGAAACTTTGTCTTTATGGTCCTTTTTTGGGACTAACAATGGTTTCACTTTTGTTTCTCTGACAGTTGATGAGTTTGTAAGTGATGTGCTGTTGGTACCAGAAAAATGTCGTTTCTTCCACAAAGAAGAAATGGATGAATGTCGGAGTCACCAGCACTGGCAGAGTGTTGCCAAAGCGGTAAGAGATGACTAGAGATAGTAGAATTTGCAGATGCTGGAGAATCTGAGATAACAAGGTGTAGAGCTGGATGAACACAGCAGGCCAAGCAGCATCAGAGGAGCAGGAAGGCTGACGTTTCGGGCCTAGACC